GTTACAATTTAAAAAGAGCACTCGCGCAAAGTCAGCCTGATGTCTTTTTTTTTTTTTATCAACCATTATCAAAGTGAGCATTGTCACACTGATAGAAACGATGAAGATCACGTGTAGCTCTCTGTACTCTCCTTTCCTCCGTAAAACACAGTAACAACAACAAATAATAGAACTGACTGTTAACATACTTGAATAAGAGTTTCTTTCTTATCATCTTTAGTCTATTTTTCTTCTTCCTCCCCATCTATAAGTAAATCAACATAATCAGTCGAGGTTAAACAAATGCGTTTATTTCCATCGTTGTACATGATCAGTCCATTCCACGTGTACACTTGTTTCTTCTCTAGTTTTGATCGTGCATATTTAAATATACTTAAATTCGTCTATGTTAAATCTTCATTTATCCATATGCTTTTGTCTAGCTGTTTCTTGTGAATGAGAATTAACCGACGGGCACGGTAATGAACAAAACGCACGATGATAGCACGACTTGATTTGTCATTCTTCTTACGGCCGATACGATGACTAACACTAATGTGTTCGTCAGATATAGTAATACCGATCGATGCGCATATCCCAATAACAATTTGACCCGTGTTTTCTTTACGCTCTTCTTTGACACCATAAATACGTAGATTTGTACGACGATTATAAGTAGCAACATCATCTAATGAAGCTGAAGTTCGCCGACTCGTTTTTCAAGGGACATTAATCGTTTTTCCACTTGATTTAACATTTTGACCCAAATATTTTTTTAGTTAATCAATTTCTAGTTCTAAAGTCTAAAGATAAACAGAAGTCCAATTTGTCGACACAATTAACTTTAAAATTATTTTGAATGAAGGATTTTGTAGAACGAACATTTCTCTACAAAACAAGATGTCCTACAACTCCGAGATACGCCCAGGGGTAAAAAAATAGACAAAAAAACGCGTTTTTTTTTTCGTTTTTAACGACCAAAAAACCCGTTAAATTTTTCAAAACCAACGCTTCTTTTTTGTCGTTTAAACGCGTTTTTCTTTTATCTATTCGTTTGAAAAGGCGTTTTTCGGAATTAGCGAACGATCGTAGAAAGAGTCGTTTAAACGCGTTTTTTGTCGTTTAGAAGTTTAGAATAACGCGTTCTTTGACAACGCATTTGCTAACGATCGTTAAATTAACCGTTTTCTAACGACATTAAAATGATATAACTTCGAATTTTTTTGTTTTTGTAAACGCGTTTCAACGATCATTTTAATGTCGTTAGAAAACGCGTTCAACAAAAACGCCAGAAAACGGTTAATTTAACGATCGTTAACAAACGCGTTATTCTAAATTTCTGAACGATAAAAAACGCGTTTAAACGACTCTTTTGACGACAGTTCGCTAACGCGTTCGGAAAAAACGCGTTTCGCGTGCCGTTTCTAACGATTTTTTTTCCACCTTGGCACTTCATAGCTGTGTTATAAGAGTTTTCCCGGATGCGCAAATACCAGTTCTAGAACTGGTGCATACCTAAGAGACAGTAGGAAGATAGTTTTCCCAGTGGATCCTGTTTTCTTCCTTAATCAGTATTGACGAGAAAGAATAAAATCGCCTTGGTTTTCAGAAAAATTAACGTAGATAATAAATCCTGGTTTTTTCAAAAATCAGTCATTTTTTGTCAAATCAAAATGATTTTCGGATTTTTTTCAGTCTCCTTTTTGTTTTATCGTTGACGAAGTATATATGCACATAAGTTTTTTATGTGAAGACTGTGTTTCATAATTACAATTATAAACACAGTCAAAGGAGCTTACAGCTTCCTGGCTTATCGAAATGTGACATTTGATTATGCTGTCGTGAATATATAGGATAGTGCGCAAAACTCGAAAACGTTTCCTTGGTAGATTCGATTTTGTCTGTCAATTTATCCACATATGAAATCGCCGGTGATTTGACAAACAGAAAACCCAACTAGGATTTCTGACAAATGAGTTCTGAATTTTTACAAAATTAAATGCGTATTATGAAAAATCACTCCGAATTTTTTAACGACTCCTTTTAATTTTCTAGAAATTCTTTTTAGACTTATATAAAATCAATTAGTCTTGAAAATTATATGAAACTATAAAATCCTTGGCTAATTTGTATATGGATAAATTGAAAATCACCATTCTTTTTCTATAACGTATTTCCTACTTTACAGTAAATATACCATTGAGGAAGATAATTGACGCCGAACCACAAAATAACAGGAACTTAAAAAATTTGTTGTTGTTATAGAAAATCTTCACCTTTGATACATTTATAGAAATGAATTCTGATAAACTAACAACTGTCTGTCAGTTTTCAATTCAAGTTTCAGTATCGTAGTCCAGTTTATAGAAGTTCACCGGAGCTGCAGTTCCTATCTCTTATAACTAAGTAAAATCATCATGATTCGTATTTTCTGGCAGAAAGAAAAGAAAATCTGTGTGTAACTTACTTTATCTGATGAAGGTACATTCTTATCAAGCAATACTGAATTGAAGCTTTCTTTTTGATTAGAGAAATAAATTTTGACTAAATGCATATCATTAACCGTCCTCTTTATTATAAAGGTCATTGGCTTCTTTAGTGGTGTATATAATAAATCACTCTTTAGACTAGCACGTAATTTCGAATCATCAAAATCTTTCTGCTCGAACTCAACACCAAATAATTTTGCTTTTTTTAATACACCTGATTCTAATAAACTAAATTTATGTAATAATCGATGAATACGTGTTTTGACAATCTTGAACTGGAATTTTAACTATTTCACCAAAATCAACTAAACGTAATTCAATTTCATTTGTATCACAAAATTCAATAATCGCACGATAAAAACGATGATCGATACTTAAAACACATGGTTCGGTTGGTTTAAATGTATGTATAGATATTTCAAATAATTGTGGATGTTGTTTATAATAAGATCTAAAGTAAACAGACAACAAACGCGAAGAATAAATAACTTTCATTCAAGATATGAAGAGAAAAGTTTAGTTTTTCCCACCTTGGACGCACTTTCAGATGTTTCAAATAAAATAATTTTTTTTCTTTTCTTAGATATAAGCAAAATGTATTGTAGGATCTTGGATCACTAATCGAATATGCTCCCAGGTTTTTTTTGTTCTTAGATTTAGAAAACTTATTGTACGATGGTTTCAACTGCGTTGACGCGGTGCGTAAGCATAATGGCATTCTGTCAATAAACTACCTGCTTCTCTCGATCATCTCTCTACGGATTTTAAAGATGTTCTCAATAAATATAGGTCAATCAAGCGCTTCAAAAGCCAGAATAATTCTGTGTGGCTCTAGTAGGAAATATCACCTTTTTGCGCCATGTTTTATGGCTTTCCCACAGTCCTCGAGAATGACGGATGAAAATTATGACTAAGGAGACTTCTGAAGATAGTGAATAGGCGCCATAAAACGATTGCAGGACAACTTCATCAAGAAAACTAGATGTCAATCGTGCTCAAATGCGGTGCGTTAGCGGAAACCTCTAAGATAAGGAGATTCTATTAGGTCTACCGCATCTAAACACACATGAACAGCTGACTTTGTCTTATATCAATAATGACAATCGATGAGTCAGAGAAACCGGATGACCTTGCTTTCAAAGAGTCAACTTGTCTATAGTTGTTACTCTATACATTGAACATCGCACCTGTGCATTCAGATCAGTTGTCCTTTGAAAATTCTAACTTCTGTTTGTTCATCGGTCTCACGTTGTGTAGCATGATTGCCATCTAAGTTATGCTTATCATGAATAGTAACATAGAGTACTCTCTGAATTTCTATCACTCAAGATAGGCTTCTAGGCGCATAGACATGACGAAACAGTAGCCGCCGGCTACTGTTTCATCATGTCGGCTACTAGCCGCAGAGAACTCTTTATCAAATCGCTCCTTTTCAGTTTAAAACATACAGCATTCTTCGTCAGACGAACAATTAAGCCATACTACGAAGTTAGCGTTAGGGTTCACAAATTCAACAGATAAAAGAGCGGATTTTATGTTCTTAGATTACTACTAAAAAGATAATTCTCTATCTAGGTGGTTCCGTACGAAGTCGAATATGAGAAGAGACTCTGTATCGAACATAACCACATAGAAAAGTAAAAGTTGAAGTCGGAATTAGAAAACAAAATTCGAATCTTCCGAATCTAAATATAGTTTGAAAGTCGAATTCGACTGACGAATTGGATATTACTCGCTGGAGCTGCACTTGTCCTTCTTTCTGTATCAGCGTCTCATTTCGACGTTGAAGTTTCTTCGTATTATTCAATTTATCCAAAACCCTCTGGCTCTCTACCTTATTGAGATGTTTCTTTTCATTTAATTTTTCAATTTATGTTTCAATCAACTGTCTTTTTAGCCTCGATGACAACTGCTTATACGGTTTTTCTGATTCAAAAATGTAGGATGCTGATTTTCAACTAGAGATAATTGCGATAAAATAGGTTCCGCTGGCAATGAAGGTCCATGATAATTGGTTTTTGGACTTTCTAACATTTTCACTAACATAGTTGAACGAATCTGGAGAGATGCCCAGTGGCGTTGCATAAAACGTATTATACGAGAAAAATCAGATCATAAATCCATTCAACAGTGTTAAACTGAGTGTCGACTTCTCAGAAAAGTCGAAAACAATATCGTACTGTGGCGACATCTGTCAGGTCAGAGATATAATGGCGATTGATATCATCGGATCGCCAGCCATGAAAATGTCAAGATAAGATACAATGAATCGATTGTAAAATGAGACGACTGAGAACTTACTGTGAAAATATACTGAGTTTTATGGGAAAAAGATGAAGTTCTGGTGAAAATAGACATAAAATCACAAGATTTATCAAATAATCAGCATAATGTACGTCTAACGAGGGAAGGTCCCAGACTGTCCGATCGCTTTCGAGCCGAAACCTAGTGGACTATAGGTAGTCGACCATGCTGATTCCGAATATCAACATGAGACGTG